TTATACAAAGAGGATTACCAATGCTGGAAAATCCCCTCTGTTCTTTTTATTTACTTTTGGAAGAATGTGATTGCACTGTGAATGTAACTCAGGATTTTTTCAGAAAAAAGTCCGTTTTTTCTGACAAAACTCTATAGTGTAGACATACCCAAAGAGAGATTTCTCCTTCGGTGGTTAGAGTGACCAGATATCTTGATATTAGGGGCTTTGTCTTATATACACAATTATACCCCCTCCAAAAAAGTGTTTCAATTTTTCACACTTGCTATCTGGTCACTAGGTTCAGTGAGCTTTCTAAGTTCATAGGATACCATGAGAGCATATTTTATGGCTCTCTACACCAGCCTTGCTGAGCTTGGTTTGCAGATTAGAACCATGTAATTTAACAAGACATAAATCACTTTTATTGCCACAAGAGGGCACCTCCTGTCATTTAATAATTAAAGTCTTGTCCCTCAAAAGGGAGTAAGTCTTCCAAAATACAAAGCAGATATAACATGAGCAAACCAAAAATACTGTGTCTGAACCCTCTCCCTCCTACTTGAGTCATGAATGGGACCCAGTTATCTAGCCAACAGACTTATAATTTTGATACTACTATGGTGTGTCTTGGGTAGGGCTGGACATGAGCTCTGCAGCACTATGATCTAGGTGTGGGGAGAGTTCACTTCTTTCCCCACCAATTTCCTAAAATCTCTGCTGCATCTCAGAAACTGCTGTACCATACATATATAACCAGCTCATAATAACTTTTAGAAATGCAGCTCTAGAAAGTCACAGTTTCAGGGTTGACTGCTCCTTCGACAGCCCCCGGGCTCCAAATCTTCTTTAAGGGTACCCACTTCAAGGTTTCTGGCTCCCTAGCAATCACATATCTCCTGTGGAGACTAATGTCTCCCTCCCTCCAAGCAAAGGGTTTAGGTTTTCAGTCCCTCTGCAACTCACCATAACATCATTTCCCCAACAAATCTGTCCGCCAGCTGTGATTAAACTTTCTCCAGGGACTACACCAGTACATACCAGTTACCAGCCAGCCTTCACAAAGCAAAATACATTTATTGTTAGGGCAAAGGCTATAACCCTTCTGCCAGGTGAAGCCAGCAGCAACCAGGGTCAGGTTCAATATCTAGGGATTCCTTTTCAACAGTAGTTCATAGAACCATCTTGAGGCCCCACCTAGCAAAGTGGGAAGTTTCCTCACCACCCCTGTGCACCTTTGAGATGCAATACTTCCCCACTCATAAGCACAGAGTCTGAGCGAAGCTTTTAATAAAAAGAGGAAAGGAACCTGACATTAATTTGGGAAAACACTGCAAACATAAACCATACACTTAAACCAGAACCATGATTTTTTCCCCTCAAGTTCTTAAGTCCAGCAACCTAAAGTCCCCTCCATGTGCTTAATCCTTCTGTGCACCCCACTCACAGTTCCTGCCCTTGGTCAATGCAGACCCAGAGTTTGGAAGAGCATACAGAGTTCACTTCCCAAACGGGGGCATAAAGAGGCATCTTATTCGCTCCTTTGGCCACCTCTCCATCACTGTCCTGCTGCCTGCCAGTCACCATCTGCTGCCATCCACCTCTCAGCTAGAGCCTCTGCACATCAGTCTCACAGTAATTTTCAGCTCTTTGCAGGCTGGACAGAAACATTGCTCCATCTCAAGTGATTTTAACTCTTAGCAGGCAGAACAGAAACACAGCTTTACCACAATTAAAATAAGAAAGAGTCTCCTTGTTCCTTGCATTGAGGCTACTCTGGCCATTCCGCCTGCCTAGCACTGGGCTGGCAGCTTGGCAAAGTAGAACATTCTGTCCAGTGTTTGGGTCGGGCCAGGGGGTGCAACCCAAGGAGGCTGGGAATGCACTGCCTGGCTCTCCATTGCTCCGAGGCTGGGGCCATGCTGCCCCGCTCACTCTCTGGAGAGGAGGCTTGGGCAGTGCCACCCACCTGGCCAGCTTTCCTGGACCACACTGCCTAGCTAGCTTGCTGTCTGGGGGCAGGAGAGGGGGCTAGGGGCTCTAGTGGACACAGTATGTGTGAGAAGGGTAGCTGAATGTGCTGGGCAGGGGCCAGTAGCCACAGTGAGGGCTGGGCTCCAGTGGGCACAGAAAGGGCAGGGCTTTGGGTGGAAAGGGCAGGGCTGGGGGTTAGCCTCCCAAAGCAGGGATTCACACAGTATCCATGAATATTGCATAAAGAAGATAGGTAGCTACTCAGCAATTGGCTCACACAGTTGGGCAGAGTAGAAAGTTGTAAAAGTACTTCCTGTAAAAAGCCTTATATTGGTGATTAGATTCTAGCTCAAAGGAAAATTGAGGATTTTTTGCATTCAGATCCTAGTAACAGATACAATAACAGGAACAATGTAAGAACCTGAACAGAATTGTTAGAAACATAGAAAATTACATGTGCATGCATTTTCCATTGAGAGACCTTCGAAGGTACTAGCTAGTCCTACCGTGAAACAGAAGGAAAAATTAGGACTAAAACTGCCTTCATTATTCTAATAAAGTTCCTTCTTCCGTATTAGAGGATGGACGTTCTTTCTGTAATTCAGCCTGAAATAATGAGTAGATGACAAAGCTGTAAAAAAAAGCCCACATCCCATCTATGTTACCATTGTAGTCAATGGACTTTCTCCTCACAGGTGTAAAGGAAATCAGAATCTGACCCATTGAGCTGTAAAGATGTAGGACACACCAGTTACCCTATTACCACATCAATCACTCACTAGCCAGATTAGTGTTTGCAATATTATAAATATACCATCAGCTACACAGTAACATGGGGAACATCTACACAGCAGGGCTAAAGCCAAAATAAGCTACACAACTTGAGCTACATCAGTTGTGTAGCTTAAGTCAAAATAGCTTATTTTGGCTTTTTACGCTGTCTACACAGTAGGAAGTCCAAGTTAGAGCAGTCTTTCTCTGACTTCCCTTACTAATGTAAAATGAGGGTTACAGGAGTCAGAGTAAGAAGTCCTCCAGCTTGACATTATGTCGAAATAAGTGCTCGTAGTGTAGACACGGACTAGGTGATTTCACAATAACGTCAGTTATTCTGAAATAACACTGCTGTGTAGATGTATCCATGGTGTCCAGTACTTGCACTTATCTAATTTCATTTGGTATTGACATCAGCGACTTTAGATGTACACTTTAGATGTACACTCATTTCCCATGAGACCATAGTAATAGTATTACATCTATTTCAAGGGAATAGGAAAATTTAACACTGTAAAAGTGTATATAAAGAAAAATAGCTGAAGCCTAGAACCATCAACTACTTGACAGCAGTTCTGTAAATGGGTCAAAAAGAGAGTGTTTTTATTCAAAGCATTAAATGAGATCAATCCACTTTTATGACCACTCCCCTGCTAGTCCATTGTTTTAAAAACAGGAGGCCCAATTCACAATTGCTGTACATTTTGTGTAGTCATTTACATCAGAGCAAAATGAATGTAAAACGCTACCAGATCCAAACAGTATACCCAATTTGCACTGATGTAAAATATTGTATATGGTGTAGGCAATGGTGAATCAGATTTAAAGATTGATTTTGCCTGGCGATTGGCAAGGGACATTTGAAACTGAATCTGTTCTAAACCAGTATAGTTTCCCCACTCTGTACTTCAGAAAGATGCTCGCATTCAATTGGAGCTCCCAATATATTTTACTTTACTATTGTTTGGGTTTTTGAAAGCCTAGCTGTTTTATAATGCCTTAAGGTATCTATTGATCAATGCCATCATCCAAAGATGTATAAGATTTCCCTTCCTTCAAGGATGATAATTTTGACGGAATAAACAAGTTGATACATTTGCTTTAAAACTGACTTCTTAAAAGCATTTTTAGAAAGAATAACAATCTGTGTTATAAGGTGTATCAATGTTCTGCTGAGAGGGTTTTGTAAATGACAAGCTATCAATTTCTATACATATTACATATAATAAAAGCTTTGAGTCAACCTTAACTATAGCAATGCCATGTTAGGGGTAGACTTCTTGTTTTTCTCACATTAGAGCCATACTAAGGGCCTCACAAAACTTCCTCCGCCTTCAGTGGAAGCACAACTGTTCTTTTAATCCCAGTAAAAATTATGCCCTTTTTCCTCAGATGGAAAGTCAAAGGCTATGTCTACACTGCAGGCTTCTTGCACAAGAACTTTTTGCACAAGAGTTCTTGCGCAAGAGCACATTCACACTGCCATGTGCTTTAGTGCAAGAGATGTGCTTTTGCACAAGAGCATCCACGGAAGTGTGGACGCTCTCTTGCACAAGAAAGCTCTGATGGCCATTTTAGCCATAGGGATTTCTTGCGTAAGAAACACCTTTTCTCATCCACACTAGCCTTTTTGCTCAAGAGCTCTTGCACAAAAAGGCTTATTACTCGTTGGAAGAGGAATAACACTTGTGCAACAAGCCCTGTCTTTTGACAATCTACTGTAAACTTTCTAGCGCAAGAACTGGCTTATAGTGTGGACGCGCCACAAGTTTTTGCGCAAGAACAATTGTTCTTGTGCAAGAAGCCTGCAGTGTAGACATAGCCAGAGAGTCTGAGAGGTAAGAAGTCCTTATCATTTTGAAGTGTAAGGAGTGTTTTAAGGGTGACATCCTGGCCCTATTTAATACATTGTACAAGTGTTATAAATGTCAATACAGCTATGTGAATTAGCTCTACTGAGGACAGGATGTTTATTTAGTTTTTATCCCTATTTAAGAGAATATTTGTCTTTTTTGTTTTTCAAAAACTCTCCTATTCACTTTGCTGCTCTCTTTCAGATTTGTCTTAGCAACCCTCCTCTTTCTGTCATTTTTGCACCATTAGACATTATCAATTGCTACAAAATCTCAACTGGCATCCTCTCAGTTAGCAAAGCTGTAACTAAAAAGACTCAGGCCTGACCTTCTGCTCAGAACAAACATGAATCAACTAAAATAGTCTGTAAACATTTATAGAAAAAACACTGTTTTCCTTCTCTTTCTTTCATGCTTAAGAAAATTGGCTCTGAAATATCATCCAGACAAGAATCCTGACAATCCAGAGGCTGTTGAAAAATTTAAAGAAATCAACAATGCTCATGCGATACTGACTGACCTGTCCAAGAGAAACATATACGATAAGTATGGATCATTAGGGCTTTATGTGGCGGAACAGTTTGGGGAAGAAAATGTTAATGCATACTTCATGCTTTCAAGCTGGTGGGCAAAGGTGAGTGAGTAATATAAAATGCTTTATTCTCTTATTTAAAAATCTACTGAGCAAGCTAGGAAATCATGCAGTCTTCTAATGTAGTCTGGCCCTGGTCCTGCAAAGTGTTCTATGTGAGTGGGCCTTTAAACTCATGTGGAGTCCATGGAACTCTGCACAGAAATAGGGGTCCCCTAGTTCAGAATAAGTTTGAAGATTAGGGCCTTAAGTCACAGCAGATTCATTAAACAATGGCATGTCTTGAATGATTAGAAATTGGCAAAAACATAATTAAGTACCTCTCTTGAAAAGTGCTAATGAAGGATTTTTCTTTTTCCTTTAATTTACTAAATAATTAAATACACTGCATGTCTTGTAACACTTAGAGACATTAATTATATTTGAAACTGGAGCTCCAGGTTAATGTTGATTTTCTTTTCAGTAATGACTAAATAAAAATGACTCATTGCTCAAAAATGAGAAGTCCTACTTGTGTGACAACCAGCTAATAAGTTACCGTACAAATTTAGCCATGTTCTTTGCTATATATAGCACACAGCATACGTAAGCAATAATAATACATAACACAGTGTGCAATTATGGTGTCATATACGTGCGCCTTGGGTACATTGTGAGGGGGAAGGAGGAAGGAAGTGGAAGAAGAGGCGAGAACTGTGGAGTGGAGGAAGAGAGCAGTCTGAGGAGAAGAGCATGATACCTCAAATCAACAAATTGAATGAGGAAAATCTCATGGTGGGGGTTCTGATGACATAAGAGCTCAGTTCATTTGGCTTATTATGTAATAGTAATCCTTTGATATTTAGGTATATATTGCAAATCCTAGCATTTTAATCCATGTAGCAGTGAATGTAGTAAGCCTAGGGCATCACAAATGTGAAAAATCCCACACTTTAAATGTTATTCTTACTGCTATTTCCAGCAACAAAATGTTGAGGCAGCAAAAAGTCCATTGGAATAAATAGAAAAATAATCTTTGTGTGAACTAAATACACTGTGCAGAGAGGAGAAATGATTGCTTTGATTTAGGAAACATGGGAAACAGTATCCTGTCTCCACCAGTGGCCAGGGCAGGCCAGCTCTATGTGTCTGGGAAAACATCCTTTATAGATTACTTCAGGTGAGAATAGAAGCAGCTCAAATACAAATTAATGGACCCTCATTTTCAAAACTGGGAGCTACATTATATTGGCAAAATTTGTATCTACACCAGCAAATACTGAAGATAGGCCTGGTCCACATCTCCACTTTGAATGCCCGAGACATTACAGCTGGCCCCTGTATCTCTGGCAGCAAATTTACACTGGCTGTGGTTGTTGACTCCTGCAGCATCCTGGACTCTTCATTACTGATTGCTTCTACTACTGCTACCTGCTGTGTCCATCTTTTCTCTCAGTTATCTTCTCCTCAGCCTCCTTGCCCCCATCTCTGAGCACAGGAAGTCACTAGCTAAGAAGGGAGAGAACAGATACTGAAAGATTCTCTAGCAGCAGCATCAGATGAGCCATTCCCTGGACTCCGATTATGTGACTATGGATGTGGAATAGATGTGGATATAAGAATAGGAACAGAAACAACAGCAGCAGCAGCCTTGATCATCACCCAGAAAAGCAGAGGAAAGTGTAGAGAGCAGCCCAAGTCCTAGAGGGTGTATGGGAGTAAGGAGAGCAATTGCTGGGTTTGATTTGATTTGATTGGTGGGTGCTGTGTTCTGGAGGTATGGAAGGATTTGTTATGGAGCCTGTGTAAATTCCTTACATTGCATATTGAAGAATCTCCTACGAAAAAAATAAAAAATCTGAGGCACTTATGTAACAAGACCTCCCAGATCGTCACATCTCCATCGCCACTAAACAAAACAAAGTTTTCCAATTTTCAGAGTATAAACAAAGAGGTCAACAAAGAATCCTCTCTGGTTGAATCTAGCCATCTACCTACATGCCTATCCACACTTTTCCTCTTCCACCTCTTTTACCAATAAGCTCTGGGCTTAGTGATTGCATTTGCCTTATGGCCTTATGCTGCCATTCCACACTGTGGCGTCTGAGTCCCAGTGGCATACTCCTATAAAGCCAACAGGAAAACACTGCAGTGGGCTGCAGTTCTTGCTGGTCACACTCCTCCTCCACTTCTCAGTATGCTGATAGGCAGTATATCCTGTCACACTCACACACTCAGAAGACAAAACAACAATGAGTCTGATGGCACTAAGTGGTGATCCAAGCCACTAAAAGTAAGGAAATAAAAATTAAAAGTGAAGCACAAAGCAAATAGGACTGTTAAATTAAGCCAGATTTCTCTAGAGGCTTAACCAAGCTGAGACAGTGGGTTCATTTACACAGAAAAAAGCTTTAACTAAAATGTCACAGATTCTTTTTCCCCCTTAAGGGCTTGTCTGTGCACAGTGATTGTGAATATGTCTATACACAGGTTGAACCTCTCTAGTGCGGCACCCTTGGGACCTGACTGGTGAGGAACCAGAGAATTTGCCAAACCACAGTTGGTCAATATTGTTTAGCAACGCTACCAACACTTCCGCTGCTTATTGGACTGTTAGATATTTAGGGGTGAAATAGAGCTAAATAACAGCACAGAACATTGAGAGACAGGACTGGTGGCAGTAAACAAACTTTATGGGACCATGGAAAGTATGGGCATACCCATGATAAGTGGACATCTGGCTAACTAAAATCATGCTGGACCATAAATGTAGCTGGACCAGTAATGTCGACTAGAGAGGTTCAAACTGTACCACTTCAGCTATATCAGGTTGAAATCAGTATAGTTAAACTTGTACAATTCCCTAGTGCAGACACAATTATACTAGTATAAAGGTGCTAATACCGGCATATCTTATTAAATAATCTAAACTATTTTAAGGAATCTTTATATGGTATAATTGCATTTACATGGGGGAGGTTGTATACCTATTTATCTATTTTAGTGAAAAGTCACATCCTAACCCAAATAGTTAAACCAGTACAAAATCTAGGTCTACTGTAAGAGAAGAGGAAGCATTTTGAAATAATTTCAGCTCAACATAACTTCAGCCAGGCTTTTGAAAACAGCTGGAGGTATTTGTGTGCTTACCCAGGTACAGGTTAAACCTCTCTGGTCTGGGACTCTGGTCCAGTAACATCCATGGTCCAGCTGGACCACGGATGTTGCTGGATCAGAAAGCCACTGGACCTGAGAGCCCTCGTTTAGGGCAGTGGAGTCCTGGTGCCCTAGGACACCCTCAGGGCTGTGGAGTGCTGGTGGCCCACAGCTAGCTATGGAGCTCCACTGGGCCCACACCATCAGAGCCCCAGAGCAGTAGAGCCCTGAAGCAGCAGAGCCCCGGAGCAGTGGAGCCTCAGAGCAATGGAGCCCTGGCGGCCCTGGGACAGTGGAGCCTCCACAGCCCAGAGCAGCTGAGCCTGGCAGCCTTGAGGCAGTGGAGCTCCAGCAGCCCTGGGACTGGTTGAGGAGCTGGGAGCCCAGTGGCCCTGGAGCAGGGGAGCCTGGCAATTTGCTGACAGATCTCAGGAGAGCCCAGAGTTTATCAGCAAAGGAGCCGACCTCCCTTGGTCCAGCAAATTCCCTTCTTTGGGACTCGTCAGGTCCCAAGGGTGCCTGCCCAGGAAGGTCCAGCCTGTATTACCATTAGCCTTGAGTCATTACAGGTCCCAGTCCTGCAGTGGGTTTGGTGTGATGATGATAGAGGGGAGATTGTTTTATTATTAATTAATTACTATTATCAGGCAATTTATTCTATTGTGAATACATTAAATGATTGGTGAGAGCACTTTTTCTGAGTTAAGGTGCATGTGTTAAATCATTCTCGACAGTGGCTTTTAACTATAATCTAAGAGCTAAATTGAGCCTTTTTGATGGAAGCAAATTTGTGTCTTAAAACCTTAGGATTTGCAGAGACCAAGGAGGCCTGATTCTCCTCTACGTACACCTATGTGACTTCATTTTATCCCAGCGTGTGTGAGAGAAAAATTAAATGTTTCCTCTTTGCCACTCCAGCCTTTGGACGCCTTATTTTATTTCTTTTTTTTTTCTTATATGCTTGCTATTATCATCAGTCTAGTAGTGAATACGAATTTGCATGGAGACCAACTGTAATGTGTCATTTTTAAGGGTGGTGGGGTGGGAGTTTTGCGACATGAATGAAATTTCTGGAAAGCCTCACTCAGCACTCACAGCTAGAGCCAGATTTGCAAGAGCCCAGTATACTGGGGGTATGTTGGATGCTGAACCTTTGAAAATCTGACTACAAATGTCACAATGACAGATGGGTGGTGAGTGCTCTGGAAATCTGGCCCATATTTGGGGTTTTGAATGGTAGCTAAACTCTTAACAATCTGGTTGCAGCACTTGTAAATCTGGCCTGAGCATTTTTTAAAATCTGACATTATGGCTACGTCTAGACTGCAAGCCTTTTTCGAAAGAGGCTTTTTCGAAAGATACTTTCGAAAAAGCCTCTTTCAAAAAAGTGTGTCTAGACTACACCCAGTACTTTTGAAAAAGCAAGCTGCTTTTTCGAAAGAGAGCACCCAGGCAGTCTGGATGCTCTATTTCAAAAAAGCACAGTTTGTATTACATAGTGCCTTTTTTTCGAAAGAGCACTTTCGAAGAAAGGCGTTATTCCTCATAAAATGAGGTGTTCCGTGTCAAAAAAACTGCTGTGTTCGTTCGATTTACTTTCGAAAGAACGCAGCAGCAGTCTAGACACAGGGGAAGTTTTTTCGAAAAAAGGCCACTTTAAAAAAAAAAAAAACCCCTGTAGTCTAGACACACTCTATATGCCTTATGTCTGTTACAAACTGCCACTATTAAAGGAAGTCCATGTGGTAATAGGGGTTTCCTCCCTGTTTAATCCAGGCCCTGTTTGCCGTTTGTGGCCTCTTGACAGGCTGCTACTTTTGCTGCTGCTTGTGCTGCTGTTTCAATTGCTGTTGTGGGCAGTGTAAACCCAAACCACCAGGGGGAGAAGAGCATGAGTTCTGTATGTCTCCTGAGGATTTGGAGGAGCAGATTAAGACAGACATGGAACAAGGTACTGATTATAGAAACTTACTATATAGTGCAAATATACAAAACCATTAAAAAAAACTATCAGGTCCTTTGCTGGTATATTATGTCAATGGAGATATGCTGATTTTTTACAGGAGCAGAGAATATAGCCCTACAAATATTTATTTATTTATTTATTTATTTATTTTTAGTGTGTGTCTTTCTGTCTGCGAATCTGTTTGTGCAAGTGCTTCCTAAATGGTAAGATCTAGGGCCACCAAATTTGGCATGCAGCTTCCTTTTACCCTAACTTAAAAGCAAAGTCAGAGTTTGGTTGTGCCAGGAGAACTGGAAGCTCTAGGAAAAGGACAGTTTTCCGTAACATGCAAAGGGAGGGGCTGCTGTTCAGAGGGACATGATACGAGAGTGGCCATTGGGGGCAGAGAGCCCACAGGGGAGAGCTATCCTGCAGAGTGTCCGCTGGCAAGCAGCCATAAAACCAAGGGAATAGCCAGGAGGGCTGGAACTCTGCCATCTTGCCTGCCAGCACACTAAGTAGGTCCCCTGTCCCAAGTCCTTTCCCCCTATCCCGGTGCTTGGCTGCAAGCACTGGAGAGTGGAAAGAAAAGGCTCTAGGCAGCTGAGGAGGGAGGGGCGAACTGGAGGGAGAAAAAAGTCTCCCCCTCCCCCCCCCCGATGTTCAGGGGGATGGGTCGAGTCGGGGAAGTCCTCTGGAGGCTTAGGGGGTGGGGAAAGAAAACACTCCTAGTGGCTGGGGTTGCTGGGGGAAGAGACGAAGCCCATGCGGGATGGGATCCACCCACCCTGAGCCCCTCCTCATCCCGCAAACCTCACTCTTGCAGCCCCCTGTCTCCAACCTCCTACATTCCCCCCCTTCCCCAAAGCCCTGTCCTAAATCCAGCACTCTGCCTCCCCATGCCCACTGCCCTGACGGACCCAGGAAGCACCGGGTAAGTCTGCTAGTCTTCTATATGGCAACTAAATCAGAAGCAAGTACAATAAACCTCAGAGTTATGCATGCGTAAGTTATGAACTGATTGGTCAACCACATACATCATTTGGAACAAGAAGTATGCAATCAAGCAGCTGCAGAGACAAAAGCAAAACAAATACAGTACAATACTGCGTAAAATGGGTGAAGTCATATCTTTTACTGGACCAGCTTCTGTTAGAGCAGCAAACTCCTGAGCTTCCATAGCACATTGTGCGTACCTTTTTCTGACAAAAACGTGTAGTCTAGCCGTATCCTGTGTGCCATGCCTGATCTGCTGCCTTCACTGAATGCCAGTGGTAATCTTTATTTATGCAAACAGTCCCAATGACTCCAATCAGCCTACTTGAGAAAGGGCTGCAAGATAAGGCTTATTCTTTTAAAGTGCTTTGGATCGTTTCTGATACGGGATATAAAAGTATTTTTTATTATATCTAGAACCAGCATGTCAAAGAGTACTCTTATCCCTGTAGTACCCCACCCTAACCAGCTGTGTTCTGCAGTAGCTCTGCCTTCATTTCTTCCTTTAAAAAATCCCTACTGGCCAGATAATCAAAAAATCCAATTTCTGGGGTCTTCTTATGTACAGCACAGTCTTTCCAAAGAAAACTCAAACTTTAAAAATCCCAGATTGGGGCCCATCCCCTTCCCAAAGAGGGGCTTTCTGTGCTTTAACTATTTATTTCTTTTGCTCCATCATGCTGATGCCTGACTTTACTGAGATACCCATTGCCCATTTATTCAGAATGTTCACCAATTTGACAGTTTTAGAAATGAATAAAGCTTAGATTGGAATTTATGAGTCCAGGTTTCAAAAGGGGGGCCTGAAATAAACTAGAAGTGTTTAGGTCTCATTTCTTTTGTCACTTTTGTTACATTTTTTTCATAAATCAAAAGCATCTCTATAATTTGAGTGAGAACTGTATTTTATTTTATATTAAACAAAGCAACAACAACAACAAAAAATCAAGAACAAAAGCAAGGTCTGAACGTGACAGGACAACAAATGCATTTCCTCTGCATCTGAACACAAAATAGCAGCTTCCTCTTCCTTTAAATTTGCACTTCAAAGAAAAGAAGTGATAACAGACACAAGCTGCACACGCAATAAGTTTATGGGTGCTGGCTGAAAAGATGTAACTGAGTGAAAATGGCGTAGGTTGGTCCTAGCTTTGGCTCTTAAACAGCAAGTAATTCAAACTTGATTGTCCTAGATAGGCAGGTTCAGACTTTTCTGCATGCCCATAATTTCCTTTATGTAAGATTTCTTCTAGACAAAGGCTCCACCAAGAAATTCAGAAAACAACAGTAAGGCTGCAGCAAGCTGCTTTGGAAGAGAAATTCACATTTTGAGCCAAATTCCTTATAGATTTTCTGCACACTGTGGGTATGTCTACACTATCCCGCTAGTTCGAACTAGCGGGATAATGTAGGCATACCGCACTTGCAAATGAAGCCCGGGATTTGAATTTCCCGGGCTTCATTTGCATAAGCGGGGCGCTGCCATTTTTAAATCCCCGCTCATTCCTTTGGAAGAGAAATTCACATTTTGAGCCAAATTCCTTATAGATTTTCTGCACACTGTGGGTATGTCTACACTATCCCGCTAGTTCGAACTAGCGGGATAATGTAGGCATACCGCACTTGCAAATGAAGCCCGGGATTTGAATTTCCCGGGCTTCATTTGCATAAGCGGGGCGCTGCCATTTTTAAATCCCCGCTCATTC